GGCTGGGTACCCTGGAGTGCCACAACTGCCCCCAGCAGGTCTCAGTCCCGCTGGAGCACGAGGCTCAGAGGGTCATCTGCGGCATTGATTCCTCCATGGTCCTCACAGTGAAGAACCAGATTCTTGCTTGTGGGAGCAACAGGTAAGAGGAGTGAGAGTGTGTCCTCCAGAGCTTGTCTACATCGATCTGTGTCCAGCCTGGGAAGTGGGAGCAAGGGGCTGTGGAAGACATCTCTGTATGATCCTACTCCCCAGGATCAGGTTGCTGGTGGTGTGGTTACACTAGGGCAGGGGTTGTTACACTAGGGCAGGGTTTGTCTCTGGGGTGTCTGCACCAGGCTGCACCTCTGAGCTGTGCTTTCCCCTGTGCAGGTGTAACAAGCTTGGCCTAGATCAGATCAGCTCAGCAGAGGAACCTGCCCCAGAGGACCAGGTGGAAGAGGCCACCATGTTCATGTGTGCCCGGTCGGCCCCCTTAAACCAGGAGCCAATTGTGTGCGCTGACATCGGTACAGTGCACTCGGCTGCAGTCACAGGTGAGTGGGGTGTGCCCGAATCCCTGGAGAGGACACCTACATTTTCACTGTCTTCTTCCTGCCTCCATGTCCCACGGTCAGAGGCCTCAGAGAGGCTCAGGAAGCATCCTGCTCCCGATGCTGGGGCTCTGTGGAGCAGGATGCTCAGCATGGTGGAGAGCAGAGAGCTTCAGGGGCTTTAATGTGTTCTTGGGTGACACCCAGTTGTTTCTCTGGTCTCTATTGTCAGCTTCTGGCCAGTGCTACACCTTTGGGAGCAACCAGCACGGGCAACTGGGCACCAACAGCCGCGTGCCTCACCTGGTTGTGGGTCTGCAGGCAATGAAGGTCGCAGTGGTGGCTTGTGGGGATGCCTTCACTGTGGCCATAGGAGCAGGTGAGGCTGAAGCCAACTGTGTCCTGGGTTGCAGCAGGCCCTGGCTTTCCTCTGCCTGCTGTCCATGTTGTGGCCAAGGCAGGCTTTGGAAATAGCCTGGGACGGTGCTGGGGAGATGGGAGCCCCATTTTCTGGTGAGCTCTGCGTGTAGCAAGGTGTATCTGTCCTGCAGACGGCGAGGTGTGCACATGGGGGAAAGGAGCCAGGGGACGCCTGGGCAGGAAGGACGAGGAAACAGGAGTGCCGGGGCTGGTGCAGCTGGAGGA